AAGGCTGTTAAATCGCGTTGTTTACCCATATCTTCAGAAAAAAATCACTTCTGGTGTGGTAAACAACCTGCTTCCCTATTTATAATGGTCTGGCCCTCTAGCAACTTATAGCTAAAGGGCTGTAGTGCGAAATTATAGCTAATTTGCCTATAAACGTCAGGTGGTCATCATAATCTGGCCACTCAGTATATATAATAGAAATAAAAGTTTTATGAAGCAGTATGTAGCTTTATGTACAGTTCACATTGATATTTTCTATTCTGTATTACAGGTTGGGCAAAAGTAGGTTTATAGTAACATTGTGACACTCTTTTGAATTAATAAAGCTATTCTAATAATCATAACCTGCATGTATTTTTTTAAAATATATTTTTATTGATTTCAGAGAGAAAGGAAGAGGGAGAGAGAGAGACAGGGACATCAATGATGAGAGAGAATCACTCTGGCTGCCTCCTGCACACCCAACACCGGGGATTGAGCCTGTAACCTGGGCATGTGCCCTGACTGGGAATTGAACCATTAACTCCAGGTTCATTGGTCAACCCTCAACTACTGAGCCACACTGGCTGGGCCTGCATGTCTTTTTTTCCCATACAAATAACTATAAACTTACTTTTGCCTACCCCTGTATTATTTTAAATAAATATTGGCCTTGATCCACTTAGGAAATTAATTTCATGATACAGTGATATTTGCTAAGTTCTGCTGTGGAAGTGTATTATAGTTTTAGTGAATTAGCAACTTAAAATACATATAATAAATAAGAGGCCTAGAATAAACTATTTATAATTTATGAATTTTCTTGGGATTTATTTTTTTACTCATAAACATAGCAAATTATTGAATTGTTCTACAGATCAATTTGCAAGGTGTTTTTTTTTCTCTCCTGTTAGTAAACACTGACAAATGTTTTAGAATGCAATGCATATACTTTATTGATAATGTTTTACTGTGTATTTCTATCATAAGTATAATTTTGATGGACTTTAGCGAATACCTTGTGAAAGTGTTTTTTTTTTTTCTGTTTACAAAAGCAGTTACATAAAGTATTTCTATTTGGAGTTCTTAGGGATCTAAAATTCAATATTTTAATAATTGCATTTTACTTAATAATATTTCTCAAACTTATGATGAAACACCTAAAAGTCAGGCTGTTTTTGGCTGAATACTGTGTTTTTTTTTGTGTGTGTAAAATACCACCGTGAATATTGGTATTTTTCTTTTTTATAAAAATAACTGCTAATAATTGTACCAATGGAATGTATTTCTATCATGCTCATCTCATAAAACTACAATCACATATTATGGGGAAGAAAGAGCTAATTAATTAAAAATAATAGGCTGTTTCAGGTTTTTTAGTATTATTTTACCATCTGGCCCTTGCCAGAAAACAAGAGATAGCAGTAGCCAAAGTATTCAAATAAATCTAAGAAATTGTATCCTTTAAGTTAATATTTTATGTGACTCTTTGTATTTTATTTTAGCAGTATAACATCTCAATCCAATTCATAGATCTCTGTAGAAATTTCTAGAAATAGTGTCTATAGGCATCTTTTCAAATTAAAAAGGCACAAAAATAAGTGTTGCATTGGTAAATTTCAGTCTTGCTACATTACAAGATTTTAAGTCTTTAAAAATAAAAATACAGAGTGATATCAGGAAAATGGCAGAGTGGGCAGCTCCAAAACCACATTTCTCCACAGAAACATGAAGAAACAAGCAGAAACTGTTAGAACCAATTTTGCCAGCACTCTGGAAAACTGACAGTGCTTTATAGCAAATAAGTGAATGCTTAACCAAGAAAAGGGCACTTAAAGTGGTGGGAAAGCTTTGTGGCATTTTGACTTATCAGTGCTCCACACCTTCCCCAGGTTGGCAGCAGGTTTGAAGACAGCAGCTCACGTACCCAGTGTGGGACTGAGGTTCCTAATTCCAGAGGGAGACAAATGACTCTATATGTGTTTTCTAAGCTGCCTGGAGCTTCTTGAGGGACTGATGCATGCTGCTCAGATCTGTTTCACCCAATTCAGAATTTATTCATGGTGGAAAAACAGTGGCCATTGATTGAAACCATTGTGAGACAAATGAAAGAACAAACAAACCCCCAAAACACAAAACCCTTCAGATGCTTGGGACAACAGATTGTGGCTGATTTATGCAATAGATCACCTATGTTCTGAGAGGAAAAGCAGGGAGAGAATTCCTTTGGGAAATTAGGGCAATCAGAGATGCCAGTATATATATGGGGAATTTAGAAAGCCATAGGAATGTATGTTCTAGGGCAGGACTAATGCTTGGGAAAGACTTGGGAAGACATTAATCTGCCTTGGAAGTGAAGACCAATGCAGTGATGTAAACGGCATTGCTGAGTGTTGAAGGAGGACCCCAACACAGAACCTGTCTGTAAGAACTAGGGGAAGTATTTTTTTTGGGTGTGTGTATGTTTTAAATTTTATCTGGTGTTGTTTTTAAGCTCTTGGCATTCAAGAAAATATTTGTCAGAACACTGGTAGAGCCCTGGCTGGTGTTTCTCAGTGGTTAGAGCATTGGCCTGTGCATTGAATGGTTGTGGGTTCAATTCCCAGTCAAGGGCATGTACCCGGGATTGAACCCACAATTTAGGTATGTGCCCTGACCAAGAATCAAACCCACAACCTTTTGGTGTATGGGATGATGCTTGACCAATTGAGTCATCCAGCCAGGGCAGTGTTTTGATTTTAAAAATTTATTTATTTGAGAGAGAGAGAGAGAGAGAGAGAGAGAGAGAGGAGAGAGAGAGAGAGAGAAAGAGAAATACTGACTTATTCACTTATTTATACATTCATTTGTTGTTTCTTGTATCTGTCCTCAGTGGAGATCAAACCAACAACCTTGGCATATTGGGATGA